AGCATTGTACAATTTCTTTTTTGAGGGGTGGGGAAGTGAAAAAAAAAAAAAAAAATTCAAGATTTCTAATTCTGTTTGGAGGACAATGGTTCACAAGGTATGTTTAGTGTGCATTGATATTTTTGAAAAATTAATTAATCACAGTTAGCAGGGAAAGGGGAAGATATTCAAAATATTCAATTTTTCCAAATCAGCTTACCAAACTTTTGATTTGATCCCCTAGCCCCTCAGGTTAAAATAAAATTCCTAAATTAGATGGAAGGTGACAAGCTAAGATAGGCACTTGATCACTGCCAGTTATCTGAGGTAATTTTTTTTCATTTAAATTAAACTTTTGCTTATTTCAGATAATTAATTGTAATGTCTTCCTGGCTGTGATTTCTTAAGGAAAAAAATAAATACATGAAAATTAATAAAATACAAAATTATAAAGACAAATGATAGAATAAACAAACTGGTTACATCAATATATTCTAGTTATTAACAATCACTTGAGTATACTTGACTTTAAAAAAAAGTTAATTAAAATCTAACAAATATTCAGATTTAAAAAAAGAATGAAGGTAATTACTGAATAATCTACAACTTAATTTCCAACCACATGCATGCACACAAACACACAAAAGAAATTAAATATTTTAAAGTACATGTAAATACACAGTGAAGCTATTTTCAACAAAATGTAACATTACTAGTATTTATTTGAGTGACGTTACACAAGATGGAGAGGTGGGTGGAAGAATACTATATAGAATCAAATCGTTGTATAGAAGATATAGTTAGAGAGAGATAGGGGGGGGACATTTCCCACCCCCACCAAACAAGAAAATTTAGTTAGTAACATTTATTTGGAGCAAGAAAAATATTTTAAAAGAAATCTATGTGAAACCATTGATCACAGCATTGTAGCTTGTGTTGCAATAAAAACTAAGTCTCCATTGCACTTAGGCTAGGGTAAAAAAGTGTGAGAGAGAAATTGATTTGCTAGTTTTTGTCAATTCAAATTTTATAAATTATGGAGACATACACTCATTATGCAAGAATTAATCAACAGGAAAACTAGGAAAGCATACATTATTAAGAGTTTATATTAAAAAATAACTAGATGAGCAGTCTGAACAGACATAGATATTGAATGTCCACTCCATGTGTCCAGTATCCACTCATTTACCCCCCTCCACCATCACCCTAGTGAGTAATCAGTTGAAATTGCCAAATATTCAATGCCATTTCAGAGTAGGTTAATCCCAACGAGAGATTTAAAAAGGTTAACAGCTATCAAGCTTGGCAGCAAGAGTCACCATATAATTACAGATTTATAGGTAACATGCATACATAAAAATCATGTCATGTGTTTTAAAAGTAAAGAAATCTCACAATTATATAATTATGGATGTACACATAAGCAATCTCTTCACATAAACTTTGATTTTTATGCAATGTACAATCATACAGCAGTGATAGTACATTGAACAAAGGTAGGGAGAAGCCAATCCGATCTAGGAAACAACAATCACTTCCGAGTTCTTTGAAAATGTGATGTTAGATAGCATTACAAAGTAGGCCTATATATATATATATATATATATATTCTCTCTCTGATATTTTACAACAAAATGAGCATGGGGCCCTGAAAGATTTGCCAAAATCTGATAACTTTTTCTTAGAGACTTAAACTGAAGACAACAAGAGTTGAGCAACAACAATCTCAAATGTTTGAAAATCAATAAAGACTTTTCAGGGCATCATTTGAAGCTTAAAAGAACATAGTAACAGTATTTCGCAATTTTATTCAAGATTTTTGTTCTAGATTTAATTCAAAATATTATCTATTACTTGAATGAACAATTGTTAAAGTTATATCAACCTCATCTCATACACATTTATAAAAAAAAAAAAAAAAACTACATTATCAAAATTGAAATTATTTTATTTTTTAAATCATGGAAATAAGATCTTGAAATCTAGCAAGGCTAAACACATGCTGGAACTTACAGTGTTGGACACATTTCTGCAATTTCAATTCCAATAATTTTTTTTTCTTCTATTGTAAATTTATTCTAGTTCCATTTAATTGTAGTAAAATAAATTTCCAAGAGAATCATATGTATCAAAATAGAATGAAGGAACAACATCAATGCTTGTCTTGAGTCACAAGATAAAGTAAAAGAGGGAAAATGTCCCAAATCAAAGCAATGTGATCAAGCATAGTGAAATGGTCCCTGCATTATATTAACACGGCCCTAGTGTTACAAAGTTTATTGACTAACAAAATTTTACTTGGTAAGAGAAAAATTCCAAACTCACTTGAATTGAAATTAGCCTTTAGTCAGAAAAGATTAAAGTCTTAACCACCTCAGTAAGAATGGCAACTGTTTTTTTTTTTTTCCCAGTGATCAATAGCTCCATACTTCAGGCACTGTTTAGTTAAATACCATCCTAAATTATACAAAAAAAGTGTTAAAGCTATTTTAATATACCCACACAATGTTCATTATAACCCTTCTGCCTATCCCAATTCACTCCAACTTTTTATTATAGGAAATTCAATTTAGAAATGATACAAATATCTAATGGATGAGGCAGAAACATTCATATCACAACCAGAATCTCTCCCATCTGGCATGGAATGCTACTCCATATTTCTAAAGAACCACAAGGAAGACTTATAGAAATTAACAGGACGTTAGCATGGAGACTTTCTTTTTAAAGTTAAAAAAAAAAATGAGGAAAAAAAAAAAAAAAAAGAAAAAGGGGGAAGAAAAAAAAAAGGAAAGAAAAATAGTTTATCTTCGGCAATTCAGTTCAAAAGAATATAAAAATAAATTTGTTCTTAACCCCATTCCCCCCACCACCACCTCTCCTCCTCCTCCTCCTCCTCCACTGACCTGAAATTTCTGGCAAACATTTTGAGAAACAATAAGAGTTAGAATACTCCCATATATTCATATTGCATGAAGAAAAATAGAAAATGTATTCAAATATAAGAAAAAATAAAAATGGCAGATAACAGCTTAAGGATGCAACAGGGATAAGGGGAAGCGGAAAGTATATTTTACAAAGAAAAAAAATGTGAAAGTATTTGTGAGGACCAATAATTAAAAATGTTTAATGTTGTTCTTGAAAATAGTAACTATCCCAAAGTTCAGTTACTGAACCAAAAAATTAAGCCCTAGTTTAAAAAGTTTTTATTTTAAAAAAAATTTTTTTTTTTTTTATATTATATATATATATATATATATATATATATATATATATATATAAATTTTAAAATATTGCAAAATGTTATGTACATCATGCTAAAAATAAAAAAAAAAAATGTATGTCCTAGTAATATTTAAACTTAGTGGTAGATACCTAAACAGATTATAGTTAAATAAATCTCAAGATCTAGATGGTGATGAGAAAAGATTGAACTAAGCTAAAGCAAAGTGGACTATAAATGTTACTGCAGACAGAGACAGACTTAGAATGCCAGGCATGACATCAAAAATAAAGCTAAAGTGACAATATACAGCGGATCTTAAAAATAATAGTAAATGTATAAAGTTATCACTATATATTTCATTATTTGATGTAATGGCATATACAAATCAGTGATTTAAACTACCATACACAGCAGTTTGGTTTGCACAAACTAAGTTACTGCCAAGACCATACAGGGAGGAGAATTAATTGAATTCATTTAGAACAGAAAGATTTTTACATAAACTTCATATTCTTCAAAATTCTAAAAATAATGTTTTTTGACTTTTGAAAAAGGGTGGGGGGGGTGGGGACAAACAAAAACATTACACATGTAAGTAAAATTTCTTCACTTTAGCATTTGATATTGAAATAAAATGAAAAAAAAAATTATAAAAGCAATCCTGCTTAAATTTTTCCAATATGTACGATCCTTTAGTTGTATTTAAGTATAAAATCTAAAAGGATTCATTCTTTCAAATTAGGAAATGTTTTGTTTTTTTTTTGTTTTTTTAAATTAAAAATTTAAATTTTATACAAAAGACAATGTAATGAGATCATGTCTACAATAATCTAATTAGGATTCAAGCTTTGTGAATAGTGAACCAACTTAATAGTTATTGTTATAGTAATAGTACAACCAAGTTTACCATTGCCTCAGCACAATGCAATAAGTTAAGGAGGAGATATATATATATATATATATATATATATATATAATAAAATCCCCCCAAGTGTTGATATCAGCAGCTGTCCAATGGTAAGTCATATAGATGACTATGAATAAGCAGGAGTGTACCAGCATGTGCCTAATGTATATCAATTATGTGTATGCCATATAAACTTACATGCACACATATACATATGCACTTCCACCTTCAGGTAGACACAACACACACCAGCACATTGCAAACTTTAATAATAATAATAAAAAAAAAATAAAAATAAAAAAAAACACCACCCACCCAGGTTTGTCTAATAGTGAAAAAGAACTTCTGCATAATAACATTGGCTATCAGAAGCTATGAACTACATAGCAGCAGCTGACTCCACTGCAACCTAATGAAGGTTTGTTGTCACAGCTATTTCATGACTCCTTTCACAAGATCAAGCAATAATCTCTCAGATTTCCTTACACATTATGAAATTTTTTTCATGTTTTTTTTTTTTTTTTTTTATAAAGGGGAGGTGGGGGGGAGGAATCACGAGAAATTGCTGACCTCTTTCAAGGAGAGGAATTTTAGAACATCCAGCAGTGCATTTTTCGTCAAAATTTAGTAATCTGAGTGGCCTTTGTTTTTTAAAGTGTGTGTGTGTGTGTGTGTGTGTGTGTGTGTGTGTGTGTGTGTGTGTGAGTGTGTGTGTGTGTGAGAGAGAGAGCGAGATTATTTTAAATCTGTGAACATGTATATGTATGCATTTCCTTCCCTTTCTATTCTTTGGAAAAGTGTCCTTTTTCGCTATCATCCAGACTGCATTTTATTGTATCAACAGTAGATATATAAAGTCTCTTCCTGCACTGATCAACAGTTTGGTCAATCTCCATGTGTAGATCGGAGTGAATGTGAAGATGTAGCAGCAGCAGATGGGATATCAATACCTCGAGATTGATTAGTGTCAGGCACAGTCTTTGCCACTGTTGGTACACTAGGAAGATCAGGCTAAAAAGTAGAATGGTAAGAAAATATCAATAAAATAAAAAAAATTAAAAAAAGACAGATACAAAAAGAGAATATCTTTAACACAATAGTTTGCCGTAATTGCAAATAAAATACCAAGAATTCAAGAATTATTAGCTTCATTCATCAAGTGATGGTGAAAAAAAAAAAAAAAAAAAAAAAAAAAACAGGTTTACAAAGATTCACCAATAAAAGACACCCACACACCGTAATGTCTAGACAGGTCTTACACTAATTTACTAAACTGCTGTTAACCTAATTTCATTTTGTTCAAATAGTTCATTGAGGCTAAAAAGATTACAAAGTATATTAGTTAAAAATTAATCTAGTCCTTTTTGCATGAATTCGGAGCACAAAAAAAAATTACCTCTCTTCGAAAGTCTTCTAACCGTTTGTATTTTGATAAACATTCCTTCAGCTTTGAATCAACTTCAACATTTCTCCGAGAATATTTCAAGAATGCCCAGAACTTTTCCAATCCATACAATTGACCTGTAAGCAGAACAAAGAAACATCAGTTTTTTTTGTTAAATTACATCAATTTCATATCAGAACTTCATTTTGCTTGAAGTAAACTTAATTCTAATTAAGAAACATCAGAGAAAAGTAAATACATTGATAATTTACATCTATTTTATACAATTTTTAAATAAGCCTATATTACTCAAAAGTTCAAAAAAGGATCAAAAACTCAACTAATATTTTCAAAGGCATCAATGAACATTTATAGATCAACCAGACTTTATACAGAGCAACTAGACATTACAAAAATATTTTTGCGATGATATGAGAAGAATTGTTGCACAAAAGCTAAACACACCATTAGCATGGTCCCTGATAGTTTCTTCCTGGAAGTCTGTATATAAATCACTCCGAAATCGTCTTTCTAATCCGTAGCTGTAGAAGCGGAATAAGCATTCCAATCCATATCTGTGTATTAAAAATAGATAAAAATAAAATAAAAAGCCCATCAATTCACAAAGAGACCGGTATATACAAATACATTACAGACCTATCCTATAAATTAGATACACAACCTCAATGTAAAATTTGAATGGTTCTATCATACAAAATTCAGCTCTATTACAATTTTCTTAAAAGAAGCTCAGAGAGAGAGAGAGAGAGGAGAAATATTGTTGATAATCTAGTAAAGATTAGATCAACAGATCTTCCTCATTCTTTGGCAAGTAATAATTTTTAAAAAATCCCATATAAATTTTATATTATTATACATTATGACTTGAATTATACTGACAAAATATGAGAATTACCTGTATCCATTCTTAGCATCCTCAATAGCTAGTGTTCTGAATTCATCATACATCTTCTTGTTATAGTGTTCTCTAAGGAAGAATGACCAAAATCTAAAGAGAGTGTTCATCTCTTGAGACATCCCAATGCCTTGCTTTTTACGTTCTGAAACAGAAAATAGAGTTTAACTGTTTTTGCTAAAATGTTAATAGGTTCAATTTAGGTACCTGCAAAAATTTACTAAAAAAGAGTTTACGATGATGAAAAAAGTCCCTAAACTTCATAAAAAAAAAGTTTTGTAAAAATGTTTGTTATTAAGAGGAAAAACCAAAGTATTTTTGATTATTTTATTAAATTTATTTTAATCCTTTCTAGCTCATTCAAAAATTTGTTTAAAAATCTTGTTTTTCTTGCATCAGTGAATGGGCCAAATCTGATTGGAAATTTTAGCATCTTTTTCAAGGTAATAAACATTGTTTTGTAAATTCTTGCAAAAATCAAATAATTGTCAGATTTTAATGAATTTTTCAGGACTTATTCACAAATGAATGGAATTATTATTATTATTTAAAAAAAAAAAAAAAAAAAAACACAACCACATCTTTTACCCACACTTGTTATGAAATTGAGAAATTAAATTCCACTCATGTTTTTATTAGTTAAATGCACAACTTATTTAAATCATCAATTTATTTTTGACAAACAAATATCATTTACATCTGCTCCAAATCATAAAAAAAAAAAAAAAAAAAAAAAAAAAAGAATGCAATAAAACTGATATTATTTAATTAGAAAACTTTTAATTGCATTTATAAATAAGATATATTAAGGATACTATTGTCTTAAAAGTTTTTTTTGATGAATAATGAATTTTTACAAGAATTGTTTACATATTTTTTTTTTTAATTAGAAAAATTAATTAAAAAAAAAGAAAAAAAAGTTAATTTAAGTTAATTTAAGTTTTAAATATTTTAAAATTCTGTATTAATTCCACCTTTTTAAATTATACTATTAAGTAAAAACAATATTTACTAATCATAAATGGAAAAGAATTTTTAATTTTTTGCATGTGTTTAAACCTGCCAATTTTTGTAGATGTGTGCCCAATACACAACATTATCAGAAAACAAGAGTGATAACTAGAGTAAATGTAAAAAACAAAAATTTCTAAAATTCAATAAAACATTATAGAGAATATTTTCCTAAAATTTAAGATTACTGAGTATGTAAAAGTCACATAAAAGACACTCACATTATATTCAATTATTTTTTTTTTTTTTTACAGCTAAAACAACCATAGAACAACATTACATAAACAACCATCTGTCATCAAGCCATCAAAAACATCAACAGCTCAAATAAATGCCTACTGTCAGGTTAAAAAAAATGCATTTCTGCAATATTTTAAATTTAAAGTAAATAGTTGTTTCAAATGTAATTAATTATACTTTAACCAGTCTGCCAATGGACCCATAATTCTTTTTTAAAACTTATTTTTTACCCTTATAGTTAATGCTGCCTGAATTATTATATGCATTTTATTTTTTCTTCATTTTCTATCATTTACATAAAGGAAATAAATTTAGAACAAAAAGTAAAATTTTAGTGGATGATTTATATTAGCAAGTGGACCAATGATTGAAATTTTTAATTAAATAAAAATTATCGTCCATTCTAACTAAGTGCCATGATGTAAAACCTTTTTAGTTATATAATGCTTGGAAGATTTACACTAGTATTTATTAAGACATTTGAAGATGATGCAATACAACCCATTTTATTGCATCATTTCTCCTTTGGCTCAGAGTTGTAAGCCTTTTACAAAATGTCAAAGTATCAAAAGCTAAACCATGAAGATATTTCACAATTGTTATCGGAGTTAGATGAAGAGTGGGAGGAAGAAATTGGTGTCAAATCTTTTTCTGAAGATAATATTTTTCATCCATCATTGAAGGGTTTGAAGAATCATTTCTGTCAGCTTTGTTGTCACATCATCATCAGATTCTGAATAAGTAAAACTGGCATTATCACTTTCATTATTATTTGAAGGATAAGTTTGAAATTTGGTTTTCTAAACCAATTGAAAGGGCACAAAGAACTCCACACTACTATGTTTTACATCAAAAGCTTGGACCTTCAACATTTTGCAAGATCTTGTGATTTAGCTCTTTCATCATTTATATTGTTCATGAAACTAAATCTCCTGAAAATAATCGAAAAATGGACAAATGCTGAAGGAATTCAGGTCTCGCAGATATTGATACAACTACAAACTCTAGTGAGTAATACACTGCCCAGGAACCATCCAATGAGAAAAAAAAAAAAAAAGAAAAAGAAAGATACATCCTGTGTGGTCCTAAAATGGATAAAAAAATGCAAACTGACTCATATTTGCCAAAAACATGTCTGTCAAAGCCATTTGAAAGTATTCTGTGCAAAATGTAGCAATGAATTGTAATTTTAAAAACAAAAATGTAATTTGAATTAAGTTTATAATTTCAAACTAAATGCAAAAATGTAATGTAATTTTTCTGTTTCAGTAAATAAATTTTGATTAAAATTGTTGTTTTCTTTGTCCATCTATAATTATAGGTACTTAATATTGAAAAATGCAAAAAGTTTGAATAGTTTAAAAAAAAAAAAAAAAAAAAAAAAAAAAAAAGCAATAGAAATGAGTCCATTAGACTCATGTAGTATTTAATGAAAGTCAGTTTTCTTGATAGAAGGAGGGTTAAATCAGCTCTAATATCCCTCAAATAAAATTATTTTATTTTGGGAAGATTTTTTTTAATAAAGAGAATTACATTGTGAATTAAAGACAACTAAAAACTAATCAACTATATTAGCAACAAAAGAGAGAAATTCTTTCCAGCAAAGTATTTTGCTTATTGGAAAAATTAAAATTTAATTGATTAGCTTGAAATTAAAACTTTCATTTTTAAAAATTCATTCTAAACCTTAGGTATCATGTTTTCTGTGGTGGTACCTAATTTAATTGGACATGCAGTTCTGTTTGGATAAAATAAACAAAGAACTTTTCAATAGTCAAGGAAAAATTATAGAAGTTCAAAGATTGCCACATGATATAAATTTTTTCCAAACTTACCCTTAAGACACTTTGCATGATACTTGTGATAGACAATCCAGACAAAATTATTTTCTTTCAGCAGTTCATACGAGGGATGTTGAAAGTGAGGGAATGTTTGCGGTGCACTGCCATAACTTGTGGATAGCATATTATCACTGGGACTGAAAATTAAAAAAAAAAAAAAAAAAAAAAAAAAATCTATGAGCAGAGAAAAAGCATTTAGAATTCAATTTCAAAGTAAATAAACTGTCCACATTGAAAATTTAGCTAAATACATTCTTTCTACTACTAAGAGTAAAGACTTTCAGATGCCAGTAAAACTTGCCATCATCTATAAATTTGCATCAGGTTAAATTTTGTTTCCCCACTTTATATAAGATTTAATTATAACAAGACGATGCATGAAAACATTAATGCAAGGTAGTGCATGGAAAGATGTTTGTGTTATATATCCAATATGAAAAGTCAAAGCACACTTAGCCTTAGCTATTCACCTGAAATAAAATAGGGTTTTCTCTTTTTCCTTTCATTTTATATTTCTCTTTTGTTCTTTTTACTTTCAGGTCAGTTTATTTTGCCTGTGCAGCACTATTTTTTGAGATATTATTCTTTTTTCATTGTTATGAGTTTTGACTCCAAGTGTTGGTCTTTACTCTCTTCTTCACATATTCAACAATGTAGAATTCATCATTTGGGTAGGAAGATTCAGCACTGTACAAGTCAGTCTGCATCCAATTGAGTGGGTAACACATGCCTGCCTTAGGTGATTATCAAGTTCAGTAATTCACCCATGCATTTGATATATCCAGCATAGTGTGTCGAGTTGAATTGGAACTAAACTTTATTGTGCGATTTCCATTGCTTGACAGTAACAAGTAAAAGCAGATGTTACTCACTTAAGATCCATGTCCCAACTACTTCCTTCCCATGTTTTCCTGTGCAACGTTTCATACGTGATCATATGATTCTGCAGGTGTGTGAAAAGCTATTTTTAGATCTCACTTACATCTGTTATGTTACATAAGAATTTATATCCACTTGATCAAAATTGTAACAAAAAAAAAAAAAAAATAAATAAATAAATAAAATGTATTTACATTTAAAGAACATGTAAAATAAATATTATCTTGGCTTCTAAACACTATTTAACTGGACATAATTTTTCTACAATTTTAAACCCAGCAATGTTAGTAGCCCTCAAGTCCCTCACACATACAGAGGTATCTCAATCAGATCCATCATGGTGAAAGTATTAATAAACATTATATTAACTAGGCTTTCATAATTTTATGAAAGTCAACTCCTCACAAGCCAGTTTGGTTTTTGTTCTGGAAAGGGATACAACGATGACATGTCCAAGAAATTGTTTACTTAATAGGAAACTGTATACCTGCTTTGTCAACCTCACAGCAGCATATGACCACATAAATAGAGACTTTCTTTTTTTTTTCATCCATTAGAAACCACCTTCCAAGCCCTGAATCCACTGAATGCATCAATCTAATAGAGGAACTGTATCTACCTACAGAATCTTATGTCTGCCAAGGATCCACTCCCCTCATACAGAAACATTTCAGATCTCATCAGGAGTGCGACAAGGAAATGAGAGTTCCAGTCTATTTAATCTCTTCCTAGACTATGCCCTGCACATTTACAAACACAGATGTGACAAGATGAGCACTGACCATTTTATACTGCATCTCAAACAAGTCAACCAATAGAAAACAATGATCCAGCTTTCCCTCCCAAGGGCAATGTGCTGATGATGAGAGAGCTATGCTGATGACAAGTGTTCATAGTTAGGATAAGAATGATCTTGAACAGAAAATCAGCATCCTCTATCAAGTATTCCAAGAAATAGAAGAAGATAAACCTTTCCAAAACAGAAACCATGATCTGGAATCGAAATGAAAGCAGTGATAGCACCTACCCTAAATCCATCCTAAAAATACAAGATGGGGAATTAGTAAATAGTAAACACTTCACATACCTTAGAGTATGGATCAAGTATAATAAATTAAGTATAGGAGAAAAGGAAAATGTACATAAAATAGATAGTGCCAAAAGAAGTTTCAAACAAACACTGCAAACTGCTACGAAACAAAAACATCACCCTGAAAAGTCTAGTCATGTTCTTAAATAGCCAAGTCAGATCAAGAGTCTTGCATGAATGCCAAACCAGTTCAGAAATATCTAAACTGTCAGTTGTATACAACAGCTTCCTAAAAATCAATGGTGAAAAAAGGATTTGAGCAAATAAAGCCTAAAATTAGACTTCTTTGAACATTGTGAATTGGCACTATGGAATCACAAAGATCTGTACTAAATAACAGAAACCACATCATTTGAGGGCTTCCAACAGCAGATATCTAAAATGGATAACAAATGTATCTAATGAGAATCAAGATTCCACACCACATATGTTTTATTAAATGAGTGATAAAAGTTATTGGACTTGAGAAACCAGTTTTCCTATAAAAAAAACAAAAAAAAAAAAAAAAAAAACAGTACTGGTTGCTTGGTCAATGAATGCTAATGTTTCCTTGTAAGAAAACAGCTAATATTACCATTAGCAGTGATAACACAAATAAAAACAAAACAGCCATACCTTTGTGAATATGAACTGGAGCTGTGCCGGGATCTTGGTTTATGTTCTCTGGAATCCATTACCCAGCCAACATGGCTCTCAATTGGAGGGTTACTGCTATACTTGGTCTTTTGTTTTCGAGGAGTCTACAAATTAGTTGAGATAGCAATAAGAAATAAAAAAAGTTAACAGCAAAAACTTAAATACATTGACAATTATTAAATTAGATTGTCTTTGAAGTATTTAATTATTTCTGTAATTTATATTTTAAATTTGTATATTATTTCCACTTTATTAATTACCATTAATACCAATTAAAATACTTAATTTTGTCTTTTTGAAAAAAAAAATGTGAATTATACCTGAGGATCTGGAGGCCGACTGGAATCTTTAACAACAGGATAAAATCGTGGTTTATCATTCAGGACACATTTTGGTGTGCGAGGACATTCTCTACGTCCTGGTGTGTCAGGTACATATGTTGGCAAAGATCGTGATAATTCTGTCTGTGGTTGAAAGAGGGGTGGTGAAGGAGTACGTATTTCTGAAAATTAAAGAATTTTAATCACTTTTTAAAATATAATATACAAGCAACAAAACTGGAAATTATTTATGAGTAATATAAGTATTAATGAAGTGAATGTGCATATACAATGAGACAAATGAAAATATTAGGCCAGACATGAAGTGCACAAAAATAATTCCCATTAATTGGTGAAGAGACTAGTGTCTAATTATCGTGGTTATACAAAGAGCTATATTAACACAAATTTCATTTGATATTAAACCATTTTGATTTAAGTTTTTCATTAAATCAGTTTCAGTTGTATGTGTGATTTTTTTTTTTTTACATCAAACATTCACAAGTGGCAGGAAAATATTAGTCACAAATACTCTGATTTTTATGACAGTGAGGGAATGATTCTGAGCGGCTGTTATTTAAAATTTATCATGGTATCTCAAATAGCAAATAAGTTACGATCATTCAAAGATCAGTTTTCCTCTTGTGTGCTATAAGGCCTGATGACAATTTCAAATGTATAATTGAATACACAGGTTTCACACTGGCTAAAAATTATATATGCAAGCCACTTGTTTCAATGCTATTATACAAGTTGTTACATAGAAACAAACAAGATGCATATTTGTTTCGATGCCTAAACTTATAAGCATCTCACCAGGTGGAGAAATACTGACGAGATGCTTATAAGTTTAGGCATTAAAACAAATATGCATTTTAGTGATCACTTGTTTGTTCCTATATAACAACTTATAATAAATAACCATTTCTCTACTTTTGGAATTGAGCCCTCTTAATGTTATAAATGTGTCAATTCTCCAGAATTAATGTTATTAGGGAATTTTAAATCTATTCTTGTCTACACTTACTATACAAGATAAGTTTGTTCCATTGGTTCAATAATTCATCAGCATTTTTATGCTTAATCATTATGATTTTTTTTCCTGTATGCATAGACTACACCTGCCCCGGAAGTTGTTGGGAGTCTGAGATTTACAGATGATACTCCATTTGATTTGTGGGGTAAAGCCTCCATCTTTAAGATACCAATAATGTTTAAATTGAGCAGTTTGATATCTTAAAACATTGACAATGAAACTGTTGAACACTTTATTCAATTATTTATAAGATCATAAAAAGAAAGCAGTGAGAACATTTTTATAAGAGTATAGAATTTGTAAACAATAACTTATTTACAAGATTATAAAAATTACTGAGAGAATATACTTTAATAAAAGGTGTTGAGAGAAAGACACTCTTTTCAACAAAACATTTTAATTCATCTGTCCTAAAACTTTGCTACCCTTATTTTTCTTTTTAATGAGAGCTGGTGTATAATCCAATGTTTATAGGTTGGTTCTGCATCCAATTTACGTGTTTTTTTTTCATAGTCAAAATTGTAATATTCTTATTTTTGTATTAAAATATGCTCATGACTAATATTTAGCTTAACAATAACCACAGAATGATCCTATTTTTAATATAGTAGAAAATATTAACTGAGAATTATAAAAGTACTTACCATTTGATGGTGGTGGTGGTGGTGGTGGTATTTCCTGAATGAAATGACTTGGCTTGCATGGTACAAGGCTATCAAATTCCTCTTTGCTAATCAAGTTCAGAGTTTTGTATTCCTTGAAATCGTTCTGCAAATTAAATTTTGAAAAAAATACCAAAAATAGAATTTTCAACTGAGTCTTAAAATGAATATATACTTTTCAAATGTTAGATAAAATACCACATGCATTATTTTCCCCTAACAACGGAAGACAAGACTGAAATAAAGTAATTAAATATCAACTTCCCTGTGTCTGATGGATTATTTATAATATTGCTCATAAGTAGTTCAAGAATACAAACATTTTAAAAGCTAAATAAAACCAAGTAAATAAGCACAAACTTGCAACACTTCCCATTCCAGATAGAATTTGTTTCAAAAACCTAAGACATTAGAAGTATTAGACATGATGCTATTAAGAAAAAGCAAGTTTTAATTTTCATAATGTAACTTTATATTTCTTGGTTTACACAAACCAAAATTCTAATTATATAGTTTTGTAATAAATTTTCAAAAGAAATAATTATCCAATTTTACTTAAATTCTGAATTTTTGTAAAGATTTGTCAAAGCAAAGGAATTTCATATCCTTAAATTATTCTTTGCAAGTTATTTCTAATAATTTTTTTGTATTTTTTATAATGAAGAAAATAAGTTCAGATTTTGGAACTGGTTTACGATTGGCTTAAATATTTCATGACAACTGCTTTTGCCACTCAACTTATAGATATTGTGTAACAGTTCAACTTATGCAAATAAAGTATATATTAAGGATCAAGTGACATCTACAATTTTTTTTACAAGTTTAACATTTTCTTTCTGCATTGATAAATGCCTTAAGCATTAGAAAACGCAAGATTTCATCAGCTCTTACAAACTGTGAGAAAAAAGTTTTATTACTACATCCCAAAGATTAAAAGCGGACAAAGAATTCAGATACCTTTCATTTTCAAAGTTAAACTTTAATTGCAAGTGAACCAATTTAAATAGCTCAAGAATGTGCAAAATCAATTTTGTAATGAATTGCCTCAATAAAAATGTCTGAGAAAAGTTGAAATATTAAGTTTGAGAAAATGCTAATTCTTAGAATTTAATTAAAAACAATATCAAGTTTCATTCACTGAAGTTAATTTGACTACATAGTTTGTCAATGAGATTGCACAATCAAAATATCAGTAGTATAATAAAAAACTTCACTATAGTTGTAGTCAAAATAGGCAAATCATTTTAAAAGATATTAATAGAACCATAGGAAATGAAAGCCTTACCAGTAAATTATTATCCCAACATAACTGCTCATAGTAACGCAGCCCATCATTGATGATATGATAGCATTCAGTGTTAACTTTTACACGTGAAGTTGTCTCGTTGGTGCGATCACCTCCAGGATGCTTGCGCAGAGCAGGCGGTGTCTGTGTGACTATCAAGATTTTGTTGATGTCAGACTCATCAATTTCATCTGCTAATTCATCATCGTCTGACCTTAAATGCAAAGTAGTTTTTGCAATTGGGTTATTTTATTTGTTGATTAAAAGTATACAATTCTACATTCAAAACAAAAAACTCACAAGAATAGTATGTTTGTTACAAATTAGAATCATTGAGGATTTACAATTTTTAAAATCATGCTCATAAAAGAACTGATTTATCATTTTACTATAAAAACTTACTTCTGAAGTGGCCTCTAAGAAACAAAATCAAAATTTGAATGAACACATCCAAATTCCAGCTGTTAATTTGTTCCCAAGAAAGATTAAGGACATGGTATTGAAGATTATCTCATTTGAAAATAGGCAAACTTAATTAGTAATTAAGCTCTTAACTTTTACATTAATTTGTAATGTCAGACTACCCCCTACCCAGACAAATTTTCTATTTGTTACTCACGCAACTGCTCAATCCTGTACAATAAAAACTTAATACTAAAACATTCTAAATTTTACAAAAATCTTACAAACTTGAATTATATAAATCCATACAAAGCAACCTCAAGTCATTGCAAAACTGAATTTAAAGGAATTTTAACTATAATGAGATTTGGAAATATACATTGGGTCTTAAATCATTTTTATAGTACAAAGCATGTTCTTTGCAATATGTGTGTTAGTAGAAATGACAGCATTTTAAATAATTCAAAAAAAAAAAAAAAAAAAAAAATTTATAGTGCAAAATTATAAATTATTTTTAAAAGCACAAGTTAAAAAAAAAGATATCTGCTTGCTTAGAGATACATTAACAGAACTTCTCATTACAAGCTAATATTTTTTATTTTTTTTTGAATATTTGTTGTAGATTTTTGTAATTTAAGTATGGTGAATAATGAAAACTTATCCAAAGAGTCATAATTTGGAGAAAATAAAAAGACCTGATAAAGAAGTAGAACAATTTTTGGCTGATAATAAACCCATTTCAAACAACTGTCAAAAGAAACATTTACCATCTTTAAATAGAGTCCATTACTTACTCTAATTTTAAGTAGCAGTTTATACAAAAGCTTCAATTGCTACTAGAAATCAAAAATGTGAAACTAATTTAAAAGAGAAAAAAAAAAAAAATGAAATGTAATCAACAATTTCTTTACTTTTAACAGATTATAATATAGATATAATAGTAAGATTGGAAAGTTTTCAACTGAGAAGTAGTTATGAGAAATCAGAATATAATACCAAACAATGCAATTAATTCTTTTAAAATCTTAAATTAAGGGTTTGATTTCTGGATATTCTGAAAAATGTGTCATTTAATAAATGGAAATCAAAACAGATGACACCATAAACATGCTTTAAAAATAAATTCTTTTATGTACTTAAACTTTACACCATTAATTCTGACAAAGCAATAAAGCCTCTAGAATGCAATAGAGTTTACAGAGTGTCAGAAAATATCAAAAAAAAAAAAAAAAAAAAAAACTTAAGACAAGTACAATAAAAGAACAAGAATTAAGACAAAAGATAATGATTGATATAGCATGTACATTTTTGAAGATCAAAGTTGTCTGGAAAGCAAGAGACCAAAAAGAGTTCGACAAGAAGTGCAATAGAAGAAACTGTTAGCATAGAACTTACAACTACATCTAGCCATTTCAACTATAAAAGAATGAGACCATGCTGCCAATCTAGTACTACAATTCATAAAGTCTAGGTACCATAGAGGAAAGTTCACCAGAACAATTACCATAAAAGTATTTATAGAAAAGGCAGAGGGTAGCTATGTTACAGCAGTGGGAAAGGGCCTGAAGCAGAGATGTCAGGACTAATAAATAACATTGCATATATAAATTTACAGATAAACTAATTGTGGGATAGAATTTTAAAAGTAAAACATTAAATACAATTGAAATTCAAGTGAAAATGATTTTCAAGTTTATAAATAAAAGTTAAATTGTTTTAAATTTTAAAGCTGTATAATTGACACTACACATTTTGTAATAACATGAAAAGCAGAGACAGAGAGAGAAAAAGAAAAAAGTTTCACTAATATACATGGTAATTTGTTTTCCCTATTTACAAAATAGGATTCTACAGATGAGTAAAACTTTTTAATATCAACATAAGAGGAATTAAATTTTCTCAATAGTTAGCATTCGTGAAAGTAATGTAAAAACTAAAGATGGTAATGTTGCAAATGTAAAAGTTAACCTAAAAAAAGGTTATCATTGCGGAAACTGAGTTCTAATAATAATGAATGAAAATTTTAGATGTTATCAATGTATACCAATGAGTGAAAACATTGGTATTGGTTTTGGCTCTCCATCTGCATTAGACATTAATTTACACAATCAAGCATGGATGTTACAAGACATCTAAAGGTATCCTCCAGGATTTGTTATTAGTATTACTATACTGACACCAAATCCCAGATATCATCTATGGCATAATCAAAGTTAATTTAAAGTTAAAATAGACGACTGTTAAAAGCTGCAAGTTTCATGGTAGAAGTTATGCTGGTTAAACTTATTAGTCCAACTTCTAAGTGTTTGGTGGATTTTTGATGGATTTTTTTTTTTTTTTTTTAATGACTTAATCCTTTATAGGTTATTTAGAGCCCAATCATTTTGGATTGTAAGGACATTTTTTTTTGAGAATGACAATTACTTTCCAGATACTGGCCCTACAATTTAACCTATAACTGGATTCATATCTTTCCCAAGGGTATTTTGCTCATAAGTGAATGTAATGAATACAACTGAAATTCAAACTCAGCTCTCCAATTTCTAATTCTGAGCCACTATCCACCACACACACAAAGATGTGCCCAGGGGGACTGAAATCTGAAGAGTTTGGTAGTGAAGACAAATTTCCTGAAATCATTCCCATACAAGAGCAGTGGGGTAGAGTGCATTGACTGCCTGGAAAATTTTACTGCTATTGTAGAAGACTTGCTATGAACAAGTGTACTGTTTTTTTGTTTTTTTTTTTTTCAATAAGGAGTATGTAATAAACTACCTGCTACATCACCAAAATATCTGTGTACACTGTCTCCAACTTGTTTTCCAGTAGTGGAACTTGGTGCCATCACTCCTCCAGTATAATGGCACATACTATCACTCACCTTATTTAGAAGAAAGTGAAATTAACCAGATAAGCAATCTTCTATCGACACTTATAAATTCACTGAAGATACTTTCAGCACTTGATTAGAACAGGTACTCTGACTGGCCTGCAGCTATACAGGTATATACACAAGGAGTGATGTAAGATTTCTTCATTCAAATTTCTTTTGCCAATTTGTATCAAAGTAACTCTCCTGTTGAGTCATACTTTGCAAGAAAGTCTCCATTCACAATCTGCATTGATAATCCTCGACTACCCAATCGATGCCTTGTTGACATGTGGGAAATTCTTTTCTTGGGCCACTGCCAATAGGTAGTCTACCATATTGGAATAAGCTTTGGACCATAACGAATTCATTTAACTATTTCTTTATGTGAATTAACTGCAATATTAAACATCAAAGTACTTAAAGCTGACCCTAACACGCTCAACTGCTACAAGACATTTTTGCCACATGTTGATGGTGATAACGTTTTGTCTCATTATTATATTTCCCATTAATTATTCTCAAAGAAGAAAATACTTTTAGGTTAAAATACAAAATATACTCCTGCAAGTAGGTACCACCAGTCATAAAATGTTTACTGTGTGAGCAGTAATTGTTATTAGAAGAGAGGTTTTTCTCTTTTTTCAAATTCAGTGATATACTAAAGTTAGAATCTGGATATACATTTTCACTGTAGCAGTTAACATCAATGTTTATTCATATATTTAGTGAATTTTGATTCAAAACCTTACTACATGTATAGCTGATCAAATAATGGCAAAAAATTACAGTAGGAATGTATGTGATTAACTGGATTATAAAATCAACAATCAAGTATTTGTCATCTCAGAACATAACTTTGAAATAGACAGAAGCCATAGCATTTAATAATAAAACTCAATTGTGATGTTAACTTTATTATTTTCCAACATCTACTTGTTTATATAGAAGCAATAAACATTGAATTCTTTGCAAAAGAATACCTGAATAGCCCCAACTGAATGATTTTTACATTATTTTCAGTTTTGCTAGTTTTGAATTTTAAAAAGATTTAGAATCCTTGAAATTGGCGAGGCTCAAAGAGAGCAAGTGTATTAAAGTTTGAGATATATAATCAACAAAAAAAAAAAAAAAAAATGCTGATACTATAGGGTCCAATAAACACTATAAATAAGTTAGTATAAACAAGTAAACCAAAGAGTGGTTATGTTAATGTTTTCAGTTAAGCCAAGACCAAAGTACATTAAAAAAAAAAAAAAAAAAAAAAAAAATTAAGAAAATGCCCATATGAAAAGTTTTACAATGCTGACCATTCACTGAAACAATTCCGACGTCCAACCTCCAAGTCTTCTAACTCTTCATCTAACATGAAATTCAATTCTTCTGGTTCATCCATCTTGTCAGTACGGCTGTCCTGGAAATCAGAGAAATTAGAATGGTGAGGCTGGAAGGATAAGACTAAATAATTCAGACAGAAATTCAGCAAATTAAAAATGGCTACAGATTTTGAGTATTAATTTGGCAACAAGCTAGAGAGAGAACATTTTTTCCATAGTAGCTTTGGACTTGGAAAAAAAAAAAAAAAAAAAAAACTATTAAAAACAGAAATGTTTGAAGCAACCCAAAGGATTGATCAAAACATTTAAATCTGAAAGATTACATAAGAGGAAAGTTGCATTAAAAATGAAAAAAATAAGTTCATACAACATGTTTAGATTTTAAGATTAATTTGAATTCTGGCTTTAAAAGTTTTAATGATTTGTAATTAATTATTTACAAAAGTTTCCCAATTTTACCAACTGGCTTTAAGAAATCTTAAAGTTGCTGAAAATATATTAGTTTCAACACTAAGCAAGATAATTTATGAGATAAATCTCTTGGAGCAAATAAATAGCTGTGCAGCAATTAAAATACTAATATTTAAAAATTAGTTAGAGATTATTGATGGGCATGAACACTTGAAAAAATGAATGGCTGACACTTTCCATAGACCTGGGAAACATTTCTCCTACAGGCAATGGTTAAACAACTTTGCTGAGATTGAAAAGAGAGGAGTGGGACAGATGGGAGGCAACTGTTATTATCAAATGTGTACTTTGAAACAAAATTCATTGCAAAGAACTTAGTCGGATCTAACAAGAATATGATAACCACATAATAGTAGGCACTGATGGTTTTCCTCTCAAAAAAAATCATCAAGTTTCTGATTTTCTAAAATTAATGTGAATTAAATCTTTTATTTTTCAATTTGGGCTTGAGCTGACTCTGCATAGTTGCTCTTTGTATTTTCCAGAATGTTCTTGCACTGATTGCAGGCTGTCTTGTATGCAGATTTCTGCTAGATAAAAATCATAATAATGGCTACAATTAGCTATGGCAGCAGCACATTCTGGCATGAATCAAGGCTGGCTATTCTTGTGATTATAATTGTGTGTGGTATAAAATTTCCCATGCAAGAAAGAATTCATTCAGAAATGAAGGAGGCTGTTCTGGGAGCTCTTATTTTGATGAATGCAGAGGGAAGAGCTTCTGAATGTAATATATGAAGCTATCCTGGTTATCATTTGAATTTGCGCAGATAAAAAGGGGAAAAAGTTTTTAAAAAAACAAGCAGAATAGCTGCAAATTTTTCTTAATGCCTAAAGTAAAAATAAATAAAATATACTAACTTGACTTTAGTGCACAGTACATAGTTATTTTGAAAAAAAAAATTTTTTTTTTTAAAGTTATCCCAATTATTTAATTATTTTTTAATATAGTTATTGCACTGATTCAGAGAGTAAATTGTTGTGAGTGGGGATCATAAAAATTTAACAACTATCAGAATTGCATGTATTCATAAAACCCAATGAAACCACCAGTTTTGTGAAAGAAATTAGAAATTTATTTCCCCAATAAAAATTAAATACCAAAATTCACAATGCCTAATAATTGGTTCTAAATAGCACAGTAATATAAAAACCTCAAATTAAAGTTTTTCTTATAATTAAAAAAAAAAAAAAAAAAAAAAATGAACACTACGAATATGCCATCACATCCCACATGTACTCTTTTTCAGTGGGTCCACAAATTTATCATCATTATTCAAAGATTTTGTAGTGTGCTGCACACTATTTCAACTTCAATTTACAGCAGTTTCCTGACTTCATTTATTTGACATAAAATGTAATTGAAGTACATTTAATATAGAAGTGTAATTCAATCTACACGCATGACATTGTCACAACAAAGTGAGGAATAAATATGAAGGGAAATAATTGGAAGAGGTGAGACACAAACTATGCACCCCTATAAGAGTAAACCAAGTACAGTATGGTATTTATTTGTGCTGCAAAGAGGAGGGTGGGGAGTCTTTGAATTTAAAACTATTACAAAATATCAAAGAATTGGATAACTAGGAGACAAGACAGATTACATTTAATTGCAAATGTAGATGTAGAAAAAGGCAAACAAAAAATATCTTCACCACTTGCCTCTGAAACACAGAAACTGCTTACCTTATCTTTTTTATCTTTTGGTGTATATTTTTTCCTACTCCGGACTTCAACCCACTCTGATTGTAGATCTGGAGCACTAAAAGAAACTGAAGGGGGAATGCTCAACAAGTTGGAGTGTGTGTCTTCACTTGATGACTTCATTGGTGTTGAAAATTTATTGACATCAATCCCAGCTTCATTTTCTTTTTCTTCCTTTTCAGATACAATGCATGTCTCTTCATTTTCTAAGCAGAAAAATATATCAAAAACTTGTATTTATAAATAACCACAAATGCATACACACACACACACACACACACACACACACACAATACAATAAAATATAAGAACTGATGTTGGTCATGCTCCAAATCCCACCCACCCACCGGGGGGAAAGTGACAATTCTTGGAAGACTATAAAACAGCATTAATTGCCTCCTTGATACAAATCTGATAGAGTATCAACAGTAATAGCAAATTACTGCTTAACTGTAATTTCTCTATCAAATCTGTGGACAAGGCAATGCGACAACAATAAAAATAAAATAAACAATTAAAATATAAAGCAATAATCTAGATTCTAATAGTTGTCATCCTTTAAGTGGGTACTTTGTGGTTCAATATCTTGTATAACCTAATACATTTTGAATCGATTGCCATGGTTTCAAATGGTTTGTAATTAACCAGTTTGAAAAACCCTAAATAGTTTAAAATTATTCAAAATAAGCAAACTCAACTTTCAATATTTATATCTTAAATAAAACTAGGTGTATTAATTTTTTCTGAATTTCATTATTAATACAACTAAAAAGCACAAGTAAACATTTTCATTTAATTTATATATAAATTATATTAAAAATACATTTTCAAAACTAAGTCTTACAATCATTTCATTGCTAAAATGTATTATGCAATAATATATAAAAAAAAAATTAGGCCCAGAACATATGCATACAGCTGATGAATCTGCCTTTTATTGATATTGCACAACATAACACTTTCTCCAAAATGTTTGAGGAGAAGGATTCCAATTCTTGATTACAGCAATACTACAAGAAAGTGACTCACAATCACCAAGAGTTTTACGGAAGAATAGATGACCTTGTTTAGCAAGATTAATGAAATCATGAAAATGTTTTTAGCAACAAGAAAAGAAACAAGATCATCACCAAGAACAGGGCTCCAGACTAACTCTTTCTTCATCATCCTGGAACCATCCCAAAATAAAAAAAAAAAAAAAAAAAAGAAATAAAATCAATAAAAAATATTTTTTTTTTTTTTTAAAATTTATTATGGGGAGTTAATAATATAGACACCATTGGAACTTTTAGAAAAATATTTATGTTCACGCATTTAATCCTTAATCATGTATGTTTTTAATGCAAGTTGTAGAGGTTATAACAAAAATTAAAAATGTCAAATATTAGCTTCAAAAATGAATACAAAAACAAATTTAAATTTTACTGTAATTTTCTATTAAAAACATCACCTTTTTATTTATATATTTTGGTTAATTCACCTTGAATAATGTTACACAAAAATGTTATTAATTTACATACTCAGAGTAACTTTAATAATTGTACTTTGCTTTACACACTAATTTTATTCACAAATGATATAAACTCATTCCAACTATATACAATCAATTTTTTCTTTAAGTCTTTAACAAATTTTCATTTGCAATTACCTGCTTCACATCATGGCTAAATGTATTTTCAATTTAGTTTATAAGCAGAAAACTTTGTTTATTGAAGCAAAATTAGATCCTAATGCTTTTTACATTTAGAGATAAACAATGCAAATAGCTAAATTTAAGTTCCTACACTTTCATAAGAATTTTTCTTTGTATTTTAAGAAATTAACTGCTTTTAGAATAAAATTTTTATAGCCCTGGCATCATAACTAATGTTTTATCATTCCCAGGATGATGTTAATCTTGAGCCCTGACCAAGAAAAAACAGAGGAAAACAAGGGAATGGAAGAAAGAATTTCTATAAACATACAGATATGATAAAATAGCAGGACTTCAGAAAAGAGAATTTATAATAGAAAAAAAAAAATTTACTTTTTTTATTTGATTCAAAGAAAATATAAAGTACCAGAAGAAAGCCACAGTGTGACCTTGAACCTACTCTCCTCTTCATAATCAAGTACATACCAACCGTGAAGTCACTGCATACACTGAATATGCTGCTAATCATGCTTTTTATATAATCTGAACAAAAGGGTACTATTAACTTTGATTTGAGGATTTATACATTAAAGGAAACCCTGTTTAAAAACATTTAATGCTTATACTATTTCCTATCTTGAGTCTGCTTTGATAATTCATGGAATGAACTGACTGAAGTAATGATCAAGCATATGTTCACATACGGGTCAAGTCAAATTCACCCCTGCCACCACTGGATTAAGGATACAACTTGTATAGTATTCCAGCATACAATTGTTTATTTATAATACAATTTTGACAAGTTTTCTTCAATTTTAAATGACATTTATATCAAATGTCTCTCACACACACACACACAAAAAAGAAAAAAAAAAATTAAAACAACTAACTTCTCTCAGGTAATGAATAAGCTTGACCAGGTACAAACTCTGGTACATCTGGATGTAAATTGCTTTTAGTTGATGCCAAGAGTACTGATACAGGCCACATGGTAGGATTTTCTTTTGGCCTCACAAAAGCTGAATCCTCAGATAATTCAACTTTTTCACTGTCCTGCAAGGCCTGCAAAAAAATGAATTTAGATATCAAAATTATAAAGTTCTAAAAATTAAAATTTTAAATTATTCCTCTCTGAAACATTCAAACCATCTCAGAAAACAAAGATACATGACACTATCAAAACATGATCTGATAGTTTTCAGTTTTAGAATTCAATGTGACCCAAAACACAAATGATAGCAGATAATTTTCATTCTTTGTACAAGTGTTGTTTTTTGTTTAAAAAAAAAAAAAAAAAAAAAAAAAAAGGAAGCTGGACATTTCATATAATTTTATATAAAACTTTCAAATGTGAAGAATCAGTTTAAATGGTTTGTAATACAAATATTATCAATATTCTACAATTAACAATGTAAAAAATGTTTTTCAGCTATGCAATCAAATATGTATTCAAATTACAAGAATAAACTAGTTTACTACTATAAAAAAGTATTCCAACAGAATTGGAGCAAAAACTTACCTCCACAATAAATGGTACCTCAACATTTGATAATCGTCTAAATGAAGCAATTAGAGTGATAGTAATCCATCCATTTTCATCCATATTTCGGCGTAAAAAGAAATCTCTAGTGAGATTATCCACAGAAAAATAATATTCTCTACAATAAAAACAATTTTTTTTTTTACAATTTATTAAAAAGAAAACTAAAATTGTATAAGTATAAAGAACATTTTTTTGTGATACTTCATTGTTTAAAAATTTTACAAAGAGCCTTAGTGGTCAAGCAGTAGATATTCAGAAAATGTCAATCTAATTTTTAACATTTTTTGCATACCAAAACTATTAAGGGAAGAATTCAGTTTATTTTTTAAAGTAAATTAAAATACTATTTTTCAGTAAGAGGAAAAAAACACTTACATTTGAGTTTTCACAAACTCTTTCAACTGAGGAGCATCATATGCTTGGTAAGGGAAATAGACTGTTCCATTTATACACTGAGATTGCTCAAAAGCAGTAAAAGAGTCATCAGAGAAACCTAAAAATACATTAAAATATGCCAGAATGAGAGGAAGATGGCAAATTTTCCAAGTATCGAAAAATAGGATAGACAAAAGAGTAACTAAAAATCAAGGCAAAAAATAGCAAAATTTTACCTCGTCCACGTCCTCGTCCACTACCTCCAGCACCACGACCCCGGCCACGGCCTCTACGGCCGCCACGGAAGGCTCTTTGACTCTCCTTAGGGCTAGGAGGTGCCATACCATCACGCCAGTTATTAGATTCTGATCCTGTAAAATAATTTCCAACTGATAGATTAAGAAAAGTCAAGCTTTTGCACAGAACTGAATGGCAGATTTAAGAAAATTTAGTCAGAAGCTGTAAAAACAGTTACATAAACTATGCATTAGAATTGTTTCAGATATTGATATTTGCATTAATTTATAAAGGACTTTTTTTAATAAACATTTTAAACATTTCTTGGTGCTAAGAATATATCTTCAGAGATCAAAATTAAGGCTTCTAAAAATTCCCCATGAAATTTAACATATATCTGAAAGTACAATATTCCTCAATTTCCAAATTGTACCTTGTCTTTTACAGTTTCTATCTTGCTCATTGACAATCCATGCATACAACTCCTTACAAAACAAAAATCTTTTACAGCTTAGGATTCCAATGATATTACAGGGAAATTTGTTACACCATTTCTAGAAGTTACTTCAAAAATATACGATTCAGGGGTCGCACTATACATGAAGTTGGCCTATACTTGAGTAGATATGTTAACTATGAAAATAATTTTTTTTTTCTTCATAAATATCAAGAAAATTTAAATATATGAGGATAAATAACTAATTATAAAAAAAAACATTCCCAAGCATTTCTTTTATTTGCTTTCACCACATAAATTCACTAAAATAGTTTGCAGGCATTTGGATTTATACTTTTTTTTTTTTTTGAGAATGACAACAAAAATGTTAAACAGTTTGATTAGACAAGAATAATGTTTAGTTCATTTATTGTCAATTCTCAAGAAAAAAGTAATTCCAGTTTCTCATGTTATCATTTTAAGATTTTAAAGTAGCATTTTGAAATAAAAATTATCAAGAGTCTATAGTAATCATGATGCCAAGTGAAAAAAAAAAACATCCTTTTGACACTTGTTTTTGGGATACAAATGGTAAACTTTTCCCTGGTAAAAATAAACATGTGAATAATATTTTAGCATATTATATTTTAAAAGTTACACAAAACATTTTGCATTATAAAAATTTCAGTATTTTAAGAATAAAAAAAAGATACAACTACAACAAATGTATAAGATTAGTAAAACTGAAAATAAGTTTTGTTGGTAATTTTGGAAAGCACCAATAAGTGTGTGTGTATCATGAATATATTAAAAAAACAAAAAAAAAACAAATGCCAATATCTAACAACTAACACTTTATACCTAAATTTTATTAGAATCAATAATCTTTAAAATTATGTACATTAATACAAGACTTCTAGTGAGAGGTAGGACAGAAAGAAAACTTGACTTTCATTAAAAGTAAGGGATACCTTAAAAAGAGTAGTTTATGTTGCACACTGCTAGCAAAGCACCTTACCTTTGGTACTAAGCTCTGTTTTCTTTACTTTATCCACGGCAGGTCTTCGAGGTACAGCTGATGCTGAAGAACCACCCCTACGGCCTTGACTCCGACTACGACGATTTCCTCGAACTTTTGGGTGCTCAATTTCAAGTGGAACCCATTTTTGGCGGCATCCTAAAATATTTAAATTTTTCATGTGATGTGATAGTTTCAAAAATTTAATAAACTCTTAAATAATATTTGTATTATCTATTTACTACCATAAATAAATGTAGTTAATTTTAGGAAGTAATTCACGACAATGCTTTCAAATATATCTTTTATATGCATAACTTAAGTTTTGTATTGTTTATATTACTTGGTAATATTAAACTGAAATTTGCCAATAATTAGATATGGAAAGAAAATAATTTTCATGGCTTAAGTTCTAAAATCGTTACTTACCTTTTCTTTTGGCTCCTTTACCAAGTTCATCACTAGCAGCACCATTTTCTTTATTTTCTTTGGCACTATCATCACCACCAGAATCATTTTGTCCATTAGCTGTTGGTACAGGCGATTGATTTGGATTTGAGTTACGACTTGATTTCTTTGTAACTTGTAACTGAAAGTAAGTTTTATTTGTTTGAATAAATAACAAGCTCAATACTGATGTGACAGATCTTGAATATCAATAACGAGGAAAGTAGATCAATAAATCTGTAGCTTAACAGTTCTTATATTGATTTGAAATCTTCAGTATAATGTTCAAACTCTTGAGATTAATATCCAGCACAATTAAGTGCAGTAACAAAATTTGTATAAAATAAATGCAGTTTTTCATAATTAGGCTACAGATTTATTGATGTACCTACCTATATGCAAATTAATATTAAATTTATTTTGTATTGGAAAGAATTTTTTTTTTATTTAATACAGATATAACAGGTTTTAGAGTAATGTGTCCCTTCAGTACTAGTTTAACAGGACAGCACACTTTCAATAATCATTAACTCTTTCTTGGTCTTTGAAGAAGTAAAAGCCTGAGGATCAATAAATTCACACAAATGCTAAAACAAACTTTGTAGTTATTCTAGACACATAGATAATAGGTATCTCGAGTTTCAGCTGCTGCTGCTGTTTATTTTCAAGGCTGTTTTGATAAAATTAGTATGGAAATAAAATTTAATCTTTTCTCTTGAGAAAGAGAATTCTCAAGTATGATGATTAATTTTTTATTCCATGTCTCTTTAAATTATGTCACTATTTCGACAATAACCACTTTTTTTATATATGTTTTTAAAACTTGTGCTTAGACTTATATCTCCTTACACATAATAAAATAGTCCTCTTTTAAAGAAGAAAAAAAAAAAAAAAAAAAAGACACTCATCAATTTGGTGGACTTGGATAGGGTTTGAAGTTGCCCTTCACAAAAAATTTCCAAGTTAAAAACTTTAGTGGACAAAATACTTATGTTTTGTCCAGTCACACTCAAATTCCCAAAATGTAATCAATTTTTTTTAATGATTATTCATTTACTAATTCTAGGGATTAGGTCTTATCTATCATAAATGACTATGAAGTTATCTCACCCTCGTCAGATAATGCAATTGTTACATTTACTTTAAATAAAATGGATACATTTTATAATGCGTTGTCATTTGTTTGAATTTCTGGAATGACCCATTATTTACACTATTTACATCTGGACTAAAGTAAAGACAATAGTCTGAATGTAAATTTCGTAAATAATGCATTGCCTTTTCATCATTTTTTCCCTTTCAGTCATCATGGAAGTATATTTTTTCAAAGTGGATAGCTGTTCATTTTAATTTTTTTTATTTATGTATTGGTGATTTCCACACCAGAGACCACTACTTGGGTGATTAGTAAAATTTAATCTCCTATTCATTGGATGATAAAATTCACACTTTGAGAAGTAGCTTTCTTCTGAGAGAAACAGGCCAAAGAAGATCTCAAATGTGAAGAAAGGAAAAGACATTACAGTGATGTAACTTTTAATAAAATTTCATCACCACCTCTAAAAGGAACAAAAGGAAGAAAAAGTACTCAATGAATCAGAGTATTCAAACAACTATATCATTTCTGATGAAGAACCACCACTTCAAATGACCAAGTTATAAGTGCCAAGGCCAATGGGTAACAATATAGTATTATTCCAACTTTCACATTAATATTACATCACCATCCAGTACCATAATCAAAATTTTAGCTCCAACCAAAAGAGAAATTATTTTTGATGACCTCTGTTGGAGAATATTGGCATCAACATTTGTCTTTAGATGGGACTTTGATATAACCCCAATTTCAAGAAATCACAGGATGAGGAGTGTTCCAGGAATATTGGCTATAACAGAGGCTTATAGACAAGTTCAGACAGCAATCAGCATTTGAAGAGGAAATGCAGGAGGACCATTCCAACTGTCCTGAAAGTCAGTTTCATTAGTTCCAATAAATGTATTTTTATTCACTTGTTTTTTTTTTTATTTTAAAAATGAATGAGTTTAAAGTTTTACAATAAGCATTTGTTTGAAGGATTGGCCAATGATTCATTTTATCAAACAAATTTTGAAGCTTTGTAGTCATTACTGTCCTTTTTAAAATTAAAAATTGTATAAATTCCACAAAATTAGCTACATCTATGACAAAAGGTATTCATATTACAGAGAAAAGGATTGTTTTATTAAATTCCTAATCCCCAAATTAGTAAAGTTTCAGGAATATATCTCCAATGGATAATTTTCTATAGTAAATTCAGTATGGTAAGAGGTGCTGTTTTTGAAGAGATGTGGGAAAAGATAATGGATAACCCTAGTTTTGAACAGATTAAGATTGTAGTGGTCAGGGAAACATCCTCATGGTAATTGGTTAATGGGAAGAGTTTCTCACTAATGGAATACAAAAGGAATGAGGGCAGTTCACCTGAATGTATGCAGCATAGAAGGTCTTAACTGTGAAGGTTAGAACTGGTGGAACTAACAAATGTTGTTTGCCATGGAAATAACAGTGTAGAGCAGCGAGATGCATGCAACATGAGAGAATGGGATTGTAGTTTGAAAAATAATTAATCCCCTACACAGCAATGTAAAAGCTTTTGGACTATCAAGACTGAGCAGCTCCAGCCCAGATATGACAGCAGTACTCCATTTTTGGCTCAATAGTCTCTTGTAAATGTAGAAGATAGCAAGTATCAGGTACTTATGGGAGGAGGACAAAAAACCAACCAACCAGCATCTTTAGCTATAGATCATATATATATATATATATATATATATACACACACACACATTTGAGGTTTGGAGTTCTAATAGACATTCAAGGCAAGAGGCCTCCTTGAAAAAAAAAAAAATAAAATAAAACACCCATTCATTGCTGCTTGATGATGAAATGTTTGGATTTTTAGGTATTGAATGCAATCAGCAAGTTCCGACCCCCATTGAGCTTTCAGAGCTAGGTCAGAGGAAAGATCAACTGCTAGTCTCTGGTCATCTAGGATTTTTAGGTGCACCCATATACTGCTTTATCATCTGCATAGATATCCAGAGAAGATATGAGTATATTCTGAGGTAGATACTAATGTAAAGCAGAAAGAGTTGGGCAGAAGTGAGCCTTGCAGACTTTGGAAAGGCAGTGGTTAAATAGTTTGGTATGATTGGGGATAACTCAGGGTTAATATTCATAACACAATAATTGGGATTTGATCAAGACCGGTAGACATCTTAGTGTCAAGGCTTTTGATGAGTTTTAAGACTTCCCAGGCTGTGATAGAAATATCACTATGTTTGTGCTCTGTGAGAAGGGGGTGAGGAGGAGAAGGAGAACATGCAGTTAGAGGCAAAGATTGCAGTGAAGAACTTTGCCTTACCTGACGAGGGTGAGATAACTTCAGGGTCATTTACAATAGTAGACACTTTTGACCTATTATCTCATTGGCTGTTTTTACAGGGTATAAATGAATTTTTGATTTATGTAATATTTAAAAAAAAAAAAAAAAAAAAAAAAAAAAAAAAAAGCTTCATTTCTGTTGTGCTAGGAATCATAGCATGGAGTTGCAAGACATTAAATGTTGAAAAGAAACTTGTATGAACAGTCAAAATTACTCTTTTGTATCATGTTTTAACTAAATCTGAGAACGCAATTTTTCACACTCAATGTTTAGGCTGGTCAAACCTCAATTATCATTAGTATTATATTTCTTTTACTTAAAAGACTACCTATATGAGATTACATTTATAATTTTAAACTTTCCTGAAGTCAACATCTTGAGTTATACACTGTTGAAATTAACTTTTGGTCCAATAAGCACACAGCAAAAAACTGGTGAAATTTGAATGATCATACCTTTGTTGCTAATTAAGCTACTAAGATAAATTTTATACCATGTTTTGTCGAGCCCTCTATGCCTGTATTAAAGGTTTTTAGATACCTAGGTACAAATTTTTAGTTTGGGATACCTATTCAAAACATCAAAAATAATAATCAACTGAAAGATAAATAGATTAGCATGTTCAATATGATAAGGATATCTTGTTATTTTAACTAGTTTAACTATAAATTTAGAAATGGTTAAATTGTATTTCAATGTTTACAGAAACAGCCAACATATATAAGCATGATCAATGGTGTCTTCATAAATTTACCGAATTTTAAAAAATTGCTCAGTACCAAAAATTCACTGCTAAATTGAAAGGTTACAGCTTACAATTTCACAGTTGTTAATTACCAGAAGACAAATTTCAGTTTGCATTATAACAAAGCAAAAAAAAATTTCAGCATGCAAAATTTATAACTATGATAGCCTATATTATATGTTGGTTTAAATTCTAGAGATTTTAAAAAATCTAGTAAAAAAGAGTTCAATTTAAAATATTAAGAAATAATCAAGAACTGCAATCTTTCTTATAAAGAAAACAAAAGTTAGGACTTACATCAGTTACTTCACTTAGAGCAGGCCAATTTTCATCTTGAAAACCATTTGAAGATTCTGAATCTGGTTTTTGCTCAGGTTTTGACTATAAACAGATATACAAATTTGAATTACAAAGCACTGTACAAAATTAATAAATTATTACTATCCCTCTAATATGAATTTCACTTTTGCTAAAAATTTTGCTTATTAAAAAATTTTTAAAAAAAAATCAAAGTCAAAATTAAATACTTCATAATTTAAAATGGTAAAATTTTAAAACACATTGGCAATGAAAAATATATTCAATTGCTGAAAATTTTGAAACCATAATGACATTTAAAATGCACATTTTAATAACTTTGATATAAATTACAAAAATTCAAGTTACCTTGGCCAAATCTATTTTCTTTCCTTCAGGGGAAGCCTTCAAAACTTTTTGCTCTTCTGAAATTAAAGTATTTGCATATAGATATCTGACAATCAATATCAAATTTTGAAACCATTCTACATGCAATATAAAAAATATTTTATCAGATTTTAGCTATAAATTTTGAAGTTTCTGGCTCAAAAGAAATTTCAGCTCTCAATTATAAAGTGACATTTAGCTTCAGATTTTAATGATAAATGATACAAAAAGTAAAAAAGTAATGTAAAAAGGTCATATAAAAACCAAATGCCATGCAAAATAATTTAGGAAAATAATATACAAAAACCAAAAACTAAATTATCCCTGAAAAAAAATAAATTTCCCAAAAAAAAAAAAATAAACGATCAAAATTATCTTAAAATGCAGACAAAAAAAAAAAAAAATTAAAAAAATAATAATCTTACATTACTTAAAAATCGATGACTAAAAATACCATGTAGTTTGCTACCATGAAAAATGCAAATATACAGAACAGATAATGTAACATACTTTAGACAAAGCCAATAATTTAAACAAATAAGAACCAACCCTTGACAAGAAAAAAAAAAACAACCTTAATTAATAAAAACTTTTGAATACACAAACACAATGTAGTAATAATAATAATAAACAAATAAGTAATCAATAATAAATAAAGAGTAACAAAAGACACTATAAAATAGCTACAAATAAGCAAATTTGGATAAAAAATTATTCCTACACAATAACCTCTACAATAATCTGAAACATAACTGTTAGAATACAAACTTTGATACCCATAATGCACCATTGACCAGCATATATAAATAGCTGAGCCAAAACACACATTGCCTGTAGATTGTGTTTAAACAGACTTGGCATTCAGTGGCAACCTCAGTCTCCATTTATATTTACATGTGGTCTTGAGCACTTTTACCCATAAATATACCATATATATATATATATATATATATATATATATATATATATATAAGGTTCAAAACACATGAATATTGCAGTGAGAGATATGAAAATAATTACTAAAGGAATACAAGCTTTAAAGCCTTGCAATCAAAGCATGCCCTTATATTAAAAAAAAAAAGTAATGGTTCTAAATTCAGTCTTCTGACAGAAATATTCAAATGACAATGACTATCTGGAAGAAGATAGTTAATATTGAAGAATAGGAATAGCATATGAGAATGTTATATACCCTATAATAGCTATTGAAGTAAATAAAGTGTAATAGTTTGATACAATTATTGATTCCTATTACATAAGACTAGGCATTAAAAAGCAAAACTATAAGAAGAAAACAAGTTAGAGTGTGGCATTAGCACCTGAAGTAGTATATATCTTTAATCAAGTTGCTTACTAACTGACCATGTTGCATTTGATAACAGCTAACTATAAGTGCTTAAAAAAAATGAAAGATAAATAGATAAGCATGTTCAATATGATAAAGATATCTTTACTTGTTATTTTAACCCTTTGCCTGTCTAGGGCATTTTCATGTGTACTATCTAAACTGTCCTGTGCATCACATATGTGCAAAGAGGTTTACTTTAAATTTAAAAATAGTTAAGTTTTATTTGAATGTTTACAGAAACAGCCAACATGTATATAAACAATGGCTTTTCCATAGATGTGGCAAATTTAGAAAACACATTTGCCCTGTACTAGTCTATAAACTTGTCAAATATTAATTGAAAATAAATTAAAAGTATAACTTCAATAGATAACATTTAAGCTTTGTAATATTTTGAAAGCATCGCAAGAGAACCCAATCTTACTTATATTGCCCATGCAAATGATCATCATCTCATTTAAAAAAAAAAAAAGAAAAAAGTGAACAAATGATGTTCTGATGATCTAAAAGGGACAAAGCATCTAACAAGTGCTTAATGACAGATTGTCAATATCTAATTTTAAAAATACCAATGATCTTACTTTCAAACAAAATTTTTTCAATAAAGTCAATTTTACTTGCTATAACTTGCCATATTTTACTTCTAAGAAAAATATCTTTATATGCATAAGGGAAATTTAATAAACTGCTTTTAGAAATGTTTTGCATTTGTTGCTTGTATAAATACAAGCACAAACAGTTCAGCTTGCAAATATTTTACCAGAGTCATATTTCAATCTTGTTTCTTAAAAGTAAAATGGTACTTATTCCAAATTAAACTATGCAAATTTCAGCTGCTCTGAACAAAATGAAACAAAACAATTACATGGGTTTTAAATTTCTGATTATTAGCAGGTAATAAAATACAGAATTACTGTAAATTTAAAAAGGCATATACCATTGAATTACTGTATTTAAATTCAAGAAAGTTGTAACCTATAGACACAAAACACACAGGCAGTAAGAATTTACAAATTACATTTATACTATTTGGCTGATTGAGGGTTAATAACATTTAAAATTTTATTTTTGCAAGCCTTTTCTAATGAAGTTAAAGATAAAAATCTCAATATATGATTCACAGAAGTAAATAGAGTTCCTGTTTAGCAGTTATTACTTTTCTTTCCTATTGAACAAATCTGATATCTTGCAACTCAAATCCACTTGCAGGCTATTTCAATAAATATATTGTTTTTTTCTAATTTTTTAAGATTACTTGGCAGTTAAAAATTAAATTTAATTTAAAGGCACTCACATTATATATATATCTCAAGTAATTTTCACAGATATGTACCTCAGAAAAAAAATTTGCACAAACTTCTAGTTGGCAATAACCAAAACATCCACCTCTATGCAAAAAAACTGAATTTGTGCAATATTTTAAACTAAAAGTAAAATTTGTTTCAAATTAGATTAACTAAAATTTAAACCTGCTAACATTCAGAAAAGTATACTTTATTTTTGGAAGAGAATTACATTGTATTGACAGATAGCTAAAAAAAAAAAAAAAAAAAAAAAAAAAAAAAAAAAAAAAATGATTTAAAAAAAAAAAAAACAAAAAACTTAAGTTTTAGTTTTGAAAAATATTAAAAATGAAATTAAAAAACTAAAAAATTTTACTTTTTAAAAATCCATGTCTATATTTTACACTAACTTAGTGAAAATGTAAAAACTAATATTGTCTATATAGCCAGTAACTTAATCTAATTTCTGTTAATTACTCATCAGTAAAAGCAAAAGATAAAGTTTATCGTGCTAGTAATCTTTTCAGAAATGAATTTATCAGCAAAATATTAAAAACTATTATTTTGTTACATACCTTTCATTTTTAGCTCAAGATCTGAAATATAAATATAGAATTTGTTAAAAAGGAAAATAATTTATAATTTGTTTATAAATTAACTTCATTTACTTGAATATTCTAATCCATTAAATTATAAATATTTTTTACGAATGAGAGGTAAATTTTACAAAGAAAGACCTTTGGTACAAACCACAGAAAACGAAAATATCAGCAATACCAGAAAAAAAAGATATTCAGAAAAATGAATGAAAGAACATTTTCATAATTTCGCAAATTTTACACGACATTCAAGATTCAGATTCATTAATAAAAATTAAACAGCATTTTGTGATATTTAATTGAAAATAAATTCTTAGAAGGGATTTTATTCCTACTTCGAGAGGTTTTGAATTATGGTTATTAGTTCGAAAGGAACTAAATTAAGTTAATGCAAGTTAATTGACGTTTCATTTATTAATTGGAAAAACCAGAATGTTCTATTTTTTTTTTTTTTTAAGTTTTTTGACTGATACTGTCAGCTGTTCAAAATAATAAATAAAATACAAATTAACATGTATCAATACCAAAAATTGGGTGAGTAGTTTAAATCGTAGAAAAATTACTAAAACTGGTTATTTTTTTTTTTTTTTTAAATCGTTCGAAATTTTTACGACTATTTTCTATCTACCAGCTCCATTAAAAACATTAATTTCATTACAGTACATCGACATTTTTAAGGATTCGTAAAATAACAAAACAACGCAATTCTCGATTATTGTAGCTTAGAATTGTATTTTCTCTTATAAACAGCTATTCCGACAAACAAAATTAATTTTGAGTCTTCGGAAGTAAAAGAAAAATACATTGAAATACAATAGTCGCTACAAGTGAATCAACCCTTAGCAACACGAGAGGTGATCACACACACGTATCACAAGGTCACTCGGAAGTGACCCGGGAAATAGCAAATGTATGTAATTGTCTCGATTGTATAGGATTTAAAATAACATCGAAATGTTTGCTATTTTTTTTAATTATTTATAAAATGCAATATAAGATTTGAAAACAGAAAATAAACAAAATTAAATTTCTGATTTCAGTAATAGCAGTGGTTCTCTGATCAGTACACCATAAAAGATACACGTGTACAACGGAAGAGTGATTCATGTGAAATCTTAGCTCGTATAACTCAGTATTACATTTTCGAAAATATGCAAATCAATTTCTGGTAACAGAAAGTATAATTAATCATATTATTTAGTGTAAATAAACAACTTTTACAGTTTCCTTAGTGTCATGCTGAGCACGTTATCATTTTACGTATGAAAAAAAACAAAAATGAAATTTCGTGTATATGGACTTTACAAAGAAAAATGCTTATGGAAGATGCTTGTTTTAGAATAACAATGTTTATTTACCATTTTTGCACCAAACGTATAAAGAATTGGGAGCACTTTAAAAAATTAAAGAGAAGTTTTGACTGTAATTCAATAAGCAGAATTATTGTATATACTAAAATTACCAATATGCTATTAACTGTTTTACAAAAATTTTATGGAAACAAAAATGGATTATTTTTTAAAACTACAAGAGTTGCCAAATCAGTAAATTTGGAATTATCCATATTGAAATCAGCTGAATATATTATTCAAAACAAGTTATTGTAATACATTTTTTTATGAAAGCATGATCAAGCGATACTTGGAAAAGAAAAATTTCTTCGGACACAAATGATTTTTAATGAGCGATTGATGGTTAAGTTATTCAATTGTCTTTTTGTTCGAGGAACAAGCAGCTGTTAGAACATTGTCGAGTGTGAAGTTGTAGTTGTGTAAACAGATCGCTCACATAAATAATTCGGACAAATAACATCGGAATTCCAAATACTCAATCACTTATTGATAACGTGATCTGCAGTAGATCTATAATAAAAAGAATGTTCGTTCAATCGAATATGCAAATTACTATAACAGTAACGACTACTAAACACTAAACAGCCACTCTCACTTCATCTGCGGGACTGAAACTTTTAGGAAAGGAGTCGAAATCAGATTAAACTAAAATTAAAATATTAAAAGAAAGGTGACATTTGTTTGTTTTTAGTCTGAAATATAAACTAAAATACATAGGCAATAAAGATTTAAGTCTTATCCGATGATATCCATCTGAGTATTAACCCAGAAAACTGGGTGTGATAACACGTGGTATTCAACATGGAGGACTGCAGTTTGACCTGCACTAGATTTTTCATTATTCAACTACCTAGATCTATTTTTTCACAATAAATTATAATATTACTATGAGAATCACAACAAAAATAGCGATTTTAATTCAGATCTATTAAATTATCAGAAGATTCATTAAATTTGCCCGAATTTATTATATTAAAAAGTGAATTGTTTTATCAATAAATTATTGTAACATTAAAAATTGGTCAAAACCTCTCACTTGAAAATATAATGTGATTGTGATGCAAGAAAATTACAGTTAATTCTTAGTGTGGACTGCACAGAAAAATGTGCCATTTTTTTCAGTTATAAATTAATCAACACTTTGATTTCAAGCAGCATCGACTTGCAAAATTTTAAGTTCAGTACTAGTTCATAAAAACGAATCAAAAAGCAAACATATGGACATGGAACTTGATAAAAATATAAAGATTGCAGAAATGCGTAAATCTACTCACCAACTGGTGTAGCTGTAGCATGTTTATTTCCAACTTTACCTTTATTCCATGGATTGTGCTTTGGTAAAGGTGCCTCAACAAAGGTCTTGTCGAACTTTTTCGTTTCGACGACACGTGTCGACGATGGTGGCTGCTTTGAGTCCACCTTGGCGCTTCTCTTTTCTTCTGGATTGGTATTACTACCATTCGTATTATTGGTTGAATTCTGAACCATCGAGCTGCTATTTTCGTTTTTTGATTTTTTAGAGACTAATTGGTCATTAACGCTTTTATGTTGGCTGGTGCAGTCCGTAGAAACTGCCACTGTTGAAGCAGTGGTAGTTGTTGTTGTTGTCTGAGAGGAGACTTTTGTCGCCATATTGAACCAGGGTCGATTTGACTGACTTGAGAAAATAATGAAATGGGTAACACGATCTCTTTTTTTATCTTCTTAAAATAAAATAAAATAAAAACCAAGTCACCTCTAACATGAATACATGTGCTATTAAAATATAAAAATTGATTGTGTAAGAATTTTTAATATTAAAAATATATAAGATCCTTTGCACAAATGTCTGTTTTCTTTCTTCAAATTCAAGTTCAGTTCGGCAGAAGGTTCGCTAAAAATTGTAAAAAGGGAAATACTACTTAGATTTAGAAAAAAACCAAGCTATCCCTTAGTTATCCCAAGTGTCCATCGAGCACAATCGAAATAAATACTGCTGCATTTTCAGCCGCTTTTTATATATTTTTAGCCATAATAAAACATTTAGCGAGAAGCCACGATGGATGGCCAAAAAGTTTCCAATGTTGGGAGAGTGTATAATTTTTTTTAGCAGACTTCCTCTTCTGTTGTAAGCACGTCCGTATTAAAACTGGAAGGAACAACAGAGTGACCACTCATATAATGGGTCCACAAGGCGACTACTATCGGTGGCAGCTCACACACCAGCTTTCGGCTAAAGCCACTTAGCTCAATGCCGTTATTTCCTTACTGAAGTCTCCCGTCAGCGCACATGTCGCCATTATACAAGGACGTTAAGAGCATGCGCAATGAATGGTCACATGATCGGCTAGTTGGCAGTCCCCGTTCTCGTGTGAGCTGCAAACGAGAAATAGGCACATTAAAAACATGTATTTAAAATTTTCCTTAAAATAACTTTTTCAATGATTTTATCTTGTTATAAGTTTTATGTTGTTGGTATTTATAAATAAATATTTATTTATATTATGGCGAAAATTAACAGAACAAAGTGACCTAAAGCTAGCAAGGGAGGGCTTTGTGTAGAAGTGAGTTGGTAATTCTGAACTTTACTGCAATGCTCCATATCCCATCTTGGAATTGGTTGTTTTTTTTATCATTGACTTCAATTACGAAAAGAAAAACTTTAATTTTAGAATATGTTCCTAAAACTTCTTTTCATTGAGTGGACACTTTTACGTCCGTTGACCAGGTGCTATTCTTTTCTTGTGGTTCTTTAATGTTACGGAGAGAGAAGTACTGTAAAAGTTCCGTCTACTTTTAAAAGAGGAAGAAAGTCAAAATCGGAAGTAGGATTTTCTCTCGAGGTAAAAAAAAAATAAAGATATGAAAAAGTTTTAGTAATTAAATCCTGTGTTGGAAAACGTTTTTGTGTTTTTTTAATTAAATCAAGTGAACAAAATAACTTGTGTAAAATTTTGTTTATGTGTAGTATTATAAATAAATAAATATTTTTTTGTAGAATTAGAATTTTTAAATAAATATTATTTCATGAAATTTGGAAAGTTTCACAAATCAAAACTGAAAAAAATTTTTTTGTTTCCTTAAAAAAAAAAATTAGAAAATTGTTGAATTAAGTTATTTTCTTTTTGGTGTATTTGGAAATATCACGGTTTGTTTGCACACTTTTGGTCATTTTGAACAGTAACACCTACTTCAAAACTTAAAAATGTACAAAAATAAATTAATGGTAACCAATTTCTTATAAATAAATACATAAAATTTCAAGTATTCATTTTCAGATTGATACATACAACTTACAGACTTACAACACTCTTGTCAGTGTACGACGAAGTCATGTTGCGTATTTGAACACTGAAAAAAAATCTTTATGACATGATTATAGCTAAAAAAGCCCAAAATTTGTAGAATTCAACTTTTTCATCTACTTCTCGTCTAAAAATACAAATGGAAATTATGTTGGTTACTCATTATGTACGTATCAATTTTTGAAAATGTAAATATTTTAAATCAGGTCTAAAATACTTAATTTGTGTCATTTTGCTTAAAATACGCTGATTTTTCCAAGTTGCTATCTCATTTACTTTTTCTTAGGTGAAGCACTAAAGAATAATTGTTAAAATTTTGATAATTCATTGTTAGTTAGTGTTACTGATATTGGCATGCTTAACTCTTCTGTAGCGGAATTATCAATGTGATTTTTAATCTAATTTTTTTAAACGATATTCAAGTACAAATATAATTTACGTATTTAATGTACACTAAATTTAAGCTAAAGGAACATCCTTTTTGCAGACATTGACACAACCGAGACTTATGGAGGGAGTTGATCAAATGCTCCGCTAAGCAGTAACCACCACTCCTGATTGAATTTAAGCTGATTCAGCAGCAGCTCTTCTATAAAAAATATTTTAATAAAAACGATAATTGTATGAGAAAAAACATGAAAATGTAAAAATTAATAGAGAAATTATTTTTAATAAAAAGTTAATATTAAAATTGTATGAAAAACTAAGCAAACGTTGAAATGTGTAAAAATAAATATAAAAAATATTTTTAATAAAACTACTAAAATTGGATGAAAAACTAATTAAGAAAATTAGAATGTTACTACCATTCTTTCTTTTTCAAAGAAAACATCAAAATGAAGCTAAATGGTTTATAAAAAATGATTAATGAAAATTGATATGCAAAGGTTTGAGAAAAAAGAGGCTCAAAGTTGATGCTATAAAAAAGTGTCCAAAATGAAGCCAGATGTAAACTCTGGCTTCATTTTGGCTGCTTTTTCATAACTTTCCATGATAAGATTTTACAGGATGATCTCAGCTTTAATGTTATCAAAAACCAGCCAAATTTGAATTGAAAACAAGCATGTTTTGTTTAGAGTATGATTTTTTTATTTTTTAACTAATGGGGATAAAAAGTATATACCCCTTAAGGATTTGGCTTTTGATCCGATTAGAGTCACGTGTTTGCTATATAAGGGAAATTTTTCACTGCAAAGTCAGAAAATATTAAACCTCACCTGTATGTGCAGAAGCTGTGATCTTGTTAGAAGAGAACAGACCTCATCTGGATAAGGAAAGCTGTGACATGGGATGATAAAAATCTTCTTCTGCAAAAAGATTACCACCTGGACAAGAAAAGTGATGATCTAGGATAATAAAGGACTGCCTCTGCTACTTTTACTGCTGTTGAGAAAGAAAAATGAAGAAAAAATCCTACAAGAATTCTATTTACTAAAAATGTCTTTTCTAAACATGTGAGAGTTTATCTCATATTTGAGAACACCTGTTTCAAATATCTGAATATTTTGTTTAAACTACCCAGAAAACCAGTTTGCTCAGGGTATGTCAACTTTTTATCATCCCCTATGACTTTCAACCTTTGGCCTAAAGTAAATTTCTTCTGTTGCTAAGAAATTGATTAATATGAACTGTTGCTCTAAAACGAAGTTGTTAAAATTCCTTTGTTAAGGAAAAATTGTTTTTCATGAACTGTTTACTAAGAGAAAACAGATTTGTGTTGCAAAAAACTGTTAACCTGCCTTAATAGTTTAAGGGACACAAGGGAACTTTTGAGAGTGTAGTATCTGTTCTTCTCAGCCATGTTCTCTTCAATCCAAGGTGCAAAATAGTGGGTCAGAGTATTATGATACTGGTCACAGGACCTGGCTAATTTTTATGTAAGCCACAACTGATCATGTGCTACATTCTATCTCCATGGTGAGGTAGTTCAATATCAAAGCAAGTATTTAAAAAGAGGAGTGTTCAACATAGAAATTGTATGTATGAAATGAATTAGAAAAAGACATTTTTATAACAAGTAGATAAACATGGATATAAAATACAAATAGAATATTTTCTGATCTATAAATTCACAATAGTGCTATGTAGAAAGTTAATAGTTATAACATTATATTGAGAAGGATAAAAGCATTTGTGAAGATTTTCACAGAGCAGACAAACAAACTAAAAACAAACAAAGAATGCTCTTTTAAAAACCACAATGCATTCAGGCTGCTGAGTACACTGGCTAAAGAGACTGTACATTACTTTCTTAACTCAGAGGTTATAAAAACCTTTCTCAGAGGGAAGTTATAACATTTGCATAAACACATGGATAAATAATATAAATACATATATATCTACATACCCATATGGACAAATAAATAAAACATGAGTGGTAAACATGGGATGCTACACTCCTTAGTTACGCAATGATTATATGAGTATAAAGGAATCACCAAATTCAAAAAAACCCTCCCTTTCTCTTGAACAACCACACACCTAAAATGACAATGGCCAGCAGTAAGCCATCCTGGGTATGACAATAAACTACATCGGCATCCTGGGTAAGATGATAAACTATATCCAACAGCAAGGCCTCTGATCAGGAGGTTTAGAGGAGTGTGTTCCCAGATCCACCCTGACCCAGGGTGGTAGCACCTGTTAGGGTCCTAGCTATGGGTAAATAGTTAACCCCCAAACTGAGGTCAAAACACTATGAAAGTGTAAAAATAGGTTTTAATACCAGAAATACTTTGTAAAAAATTATTACCAGCAATAAATTTTCAAAGAAAAATTATTACCAGCAACACATTATTACTAGCTATTCATTTTTGGAAAAAAAAATTACCCGCAATAAAAATCTTATCGGCATTAAATGACCCATTGAGGTTGATATGCCATAAAACAAACCAAACTGGCAGTAAGGCAGGAACAAATTTTGATGATTTGCTTTCTCCCTACTTTTGTCATATAAGCACATAAACTATACACACTTTAAAATATTTGAAGTTAGTGATACTAAAATATGGTCTATTTATTATTTACAATATTTATATGTGAATTATTGTCCTCATCTTTGTTGTTGCTATCACATTTCAACTGTTGTGCCCTTGGAACTTCATCAGGTGTGTCTATCTGGGTAACCTACAGGGAATTTCAAGATTACCCAGATCAACACAATGTTACTCTTATAAGATATAGTTGTCATTGCCAACATATATT